ATACATATTAAGATTGTGAAAGACTAAGCAAGAAGGAGGGAGAGAGAGAGAGAGACAGCGCGAGAGAGAGACAGAGAGCGAGAGAGAGAGCGAGAGAGAGAGAGCGAGAGCGAGAGCGAGAGCGCGACAGAGAGACGGAGAGAGAGAGAGAGAGAGAGAGGGAGAGAGCGAAAGATCCTATGGCCCACCGTAGCATGCCAAAGGATTTTAGACGGCTTGTGCATATTCAATAACACAGCTGCAAGTACATGGCACAATCAAGTTTCTATATGTCATATAGGTATTTAAGGCCTTTCGAGTGCACAACCACAAAAGGAAGCGGTAGCTGCACTCGATTTCACGTATCGAGTCCCTCTATAGTCCCACAGAGGCCCCTGGGAAAGATGCGGAAACAAAGACCCTTGAGCCTGCGTGATGATTCTATGAGCTGACCTCATCATAGCCCGTCCCCATAGATACCAACCCACACTATATACCGGCCGAAGCTAAACCTACAGCTCCTGAGGAATCTCATCTGGGGCCGAAGCTTGTTGGCCGCCTCCAAGGCCGTGGATTTCGCCATCCTCGGGACAGTGTAGCTCAGCTGGGGTCGATTGTGTAAAAGAGAAAACCAGCCCAAGGCAAGACAGCGGGCGCAGCATTCAAGTCCTTTTATACGACCGAATGACCCCAAATCATTATTGAAATTGTTTGAGCGAAGCTTCATCTTCTGAGCCTTGGCGTAGAAGGCTGTGCAGTCAGCCTGGAGCCTCAGCCAATCCAAGGTTAAGCAGCATAGTATTGTGTCGGTTGTTTTGCGTTAATAACATAGGTTGATTTGACATGGGATGCTGTGTATTGTTGCTATACATTCAGAGGTGCAGCAGATACACGAGTCTAGATAAGTAGAACACCAATTTTTATACACCTACACAACCCTGGAATCTGCAACCGGATGGCTTCTCACTGTAGCCTGCTGTTCTGCCTTCCGCCTGGGCATCGGCCATTTCCTCGTAGAGGGTTTCGTACTCCCTGACCATCACCTCCATCTTTTTGACCGGCCTCATAGAGGGTTTCATTCCACGGAACACAGCAATTGCAGGAATTACAGACATGCTAGGACACACTAATTTAGGCCAGCCGCTGGTTCTTACCCTCCTTACCGTCCTTACCGTCACCAGACACTGCAGTCCGCATCTTGTCCACAAAGCCCTCCAAGGAGTTCTTCGCTTTGAGCACTTGCTTCATGTACTCTTTGAGTTGGCAAGCAGCCTTAGATGAAGATCACCAGCCGTCTAGCTACAGCAATCATCATACGTAGACTACAGCAAGCCAATTTAGCTTCCTAGTAAAGTTTATAAGTAACATGAACATTCAGTCCCCTGGGCACTCTTGTGCTGATCACCTTCACGGCCGTGGCTGGAGCTATGGACCATGTCATCATCATCCGAAAAGGAAAACCCATCAAGAGCAACCTTCGGCTTAAAAGACAAGTCGTCCCCTCCCTCGCCAGAGTAGGTTTGCTGCTTTTCCATGGATTCCACATCTTCCTTGGACAAAACTCCAGAGGTCCTGGTGTTCACCCAGTACTCCAGCGTCTCATCATCGTACTCACATGTCCTTGGTTTCTGGGATAGAGTCGTGCAGGCATGAACACAGGGATGCTTGATCGAGCTGGCTTTATTTATGATTAAGATCAACCAAGCAGACAATGACTAGCAATCCCAATGCCCACATAAACCGCGTGCACTAGTGCATGGGCAATGATAACTCCCCGGACTTACAGAATGCACTATCCCTGCGGCTCACCCTAATGATGCCCTCAAGTAAGATCGATCGTACAAATATTATGCAATATGATAAATAGTCCCTGGCCGGGGTAGGGCCTTATAGCCTCAGGGCGAGACCTCGGTTCAGGATGACCCATCCTAGCTGGACCCTCCCTGTCGTTAAGGAATGCATGCAGGAATGGAAACACGTTTTGTTGGGACTGTATCTCATATATGACCTATACAGGCACAACAGGAAGGGGCAGGAAAAGAACAGCCATGAATCACAAAGGACAAACATATGTATACATTGCACCTGTGTACTGCATGCATACTGCAGACATAGCGGCCGAAAGAGTGATCGCTTGGTTGCCCAGGCGACGATCTTCTCGATGCGGGACCTCGGTTTGGGGAGGCCAGGTTGGGGATGCAACGACGCTAAACGTTGCATTAGACTGCATGCTGTCGGGTGTCGGGGAGTAGCCCAACTCGGTTTTCATGTCTTCTCTGCTGTAGAAGCCACCTTTAACTTCGAGTTTCTTGCGCCTCTCCGTTCGAGTGAGGATCGTCAGGGATTCCATGAAGACAGCCTGAAGCATGGTGCAATGACTCACGACACATAATTTCCCGCAAGTAGGCAAACATTGATTCCTAAAGTAGTTGGGCCCCTGCCTTCACCCCACCAGCCTTTGCCCACATACGGAACAAGTTGTCCCGCCCTTTCCCAGCATCCTTCCACATCTCGAAGATGTTCTCGGGCACCTCCAATCTCCCTGACCCTTTCTTGGGCGTCACGATTCTTCTGACCTTCTCCCGCTCAAGCTTTGTCATGTCACTGGCTCGCATGACCTTGGGTGCCTCCTCGTCCTGACCCTCTGCCTCACTTGCATCGTTGTTCTCAGCTGCTGGCTTGGGCTTGGGCTTCACTGGCGTGGCTGGGTGGGGTCGCTTGGACCCGCGGGCACTAGGGCTTTTGAGTACCTCTACAACCGGCTGCTCCACTGGCACAGGCTGCTCCTGCTGCTGCGCAGCCTTCGGCGGCGCGTCTGCGGGCTCCTGCGTTGGGGTTCCGGCATCTCGGTTTGCCAGCACCACAAAGAATGATCTTTTCTGGTTTGGTTTGAGGATGCAAACGCAGAAAGCAGGCAAGCATCATCATTTGTGTTCGGCTGCTCAATGCACACGCAACAGTTGCAGTCCTTCTCAGAACGTAGCTTCTGGATCTCGCCCTGCTGGCATTGCACGGTTGCACGGAGTAGCTCGAGCTTGTACATCAGCTCCTGGAGTAGGATCGATCGATGCATTAAAGGGATTCACTATAATTAGCCTACAGTATCCATGGGACCTTTTATTGGTGTTCGGTCCTTCTGAAGATCCACTTGGGATTGGGACGGCGGGCTCGGTGTTGCGGAAGGCGGTGCCAGTCTTGTGGGAGGCGGGGTCTTTGCTGCGGAACGGGAAGCAGAGGGCGAGGTCGTAGTTCCAGGCTCCTGCTTCACTTGTACCTGATGGACACTGCAGATTACAGGATGGGCGGCTTCTTAACAAATCAATCTGGAGTCCGAATCATGCACTTATACAGGAGATTCTTCATTAGTGTGTGGCAGCAATGCATTGACCAATGCTGCTAGGGTCGACCTGACCTGTTTGGTTCCCCTTTGAAGGCATCAAACTGCACTCATGCAAGAAAGCAGCAGCAAAGATTTCACGTAAACCCAATCCCAGGCCAAGCCTCAGCTTTGGCCTGCATCGCCTGAACCTGTGTCTCCGTTCCAGGCTCCGTCTTCGCGTCGGCGCGGGCAAGGTCGAGAGCGGCCTGGACCTCCTGCGCAGACATATGTTCTTAAGATATATAGGGTTTAGGGTTTAGGGTTTTAGGGTTTAGGGTTTGCACTGCACATATACTTTGCTGGGCTTACCGGGTCGATTGGAGCAGGAGAGCATGGTCGATATATCATTCGAAAGGACGAGAAATACAGGATCAAATCCCAACAGCTCATACAACATCTCCCAGGCTGTGATTTTGGTGTTTTCGGGCACAATTAATCTAAGGCAACTCACTATATATATAATTCGAAGTAGACTGGCTAGATCAGTTTTACAGAGCGCACACATACGTGCAATTGCATTATAGACACTGCAGCAATAGCGACGGCAATTGTACAACCGTGAGCATGCAGTCGTTTCTTACGTGCACGCTGTGTTGTATAGTACAGTAGCCAGGAACCACGCACGTCATGGAGGGCTCGGGGGCTTTCGTCTTGAGGTAAATAGGGCTGTGGGGAACTAGGATCGATCGGGTATAGTTATCTACAGGGCTAGCAATGCCTAGAGTTCATTAAAAGTATACGTACCATATTTTACATGCAGAGAAGTCAGTAGATAAAAAGTACACATGCGTTGTTGTATTTGCATGCATGCGTGCATACGAAAGAGATCGATCTGATGCATGTATATCGAGCACACCCGAACCGAACAGTGCGGTCCCTCTGTTCCCGACATGCAGGATCAATTATATGGGGGGGACGTACATAATGTGAGCAGGACAAATGGGACTTATAAGCATGCATCTTTGGCTATACAACAGCTGCACATGGAAGAGAGGTTTCCTTCGCAAGGCCCTCCAAGTCTTCCACGCCACTATTGGATCGGAGTAAGAACGATAGGCCGGAGGTAAGCGTGGTGGCCGAGTGAAGATTCCTCTGCAAAGCCATGGCGGGCTCCTGGAACTACGTTGAAACCTGCGCAGGTTTGTGTTTGAAGCGCGCAAAATACGCGCAAAATCGGCCCCAAAATGGAAACAGGCGTTGCGTGCGAAAAAGTGCCTGTTGCGTGCGAAAAAGTGCTCGTTGCGTGCCAAAAAGTGCTTGTTTGGATTTTGCGCTTTTGCGTGTTTTTTTCATTTTGCGTCAAAGCGGCTTCAGAGCCCGCACTTTCGAGCCAAAAGTTGCCTGGGGTCCCCAAGTTCAGAGTTGCAGGCTGATTGGATAGCACGCTCTAGGTGCAATACACGTCACCGAGTCACACTCTGAACCCTGAAGCTTTGCCACTCTGAAGCCCGCGGCCGTCCAAGCCTGAAGCCCAAACCTTGCAGTAAAGTCCATGATTGCAATCGATTTAGCTAAGCTGCCCAAACCACTCTAAAGCCCCACGGCTCTCTAAGGCCTGACAGCAGCGGGCCTGAAAAGCTGAAGCCCGCAGCCCCGCAGCCCCAAAACCTGAAGCCCGTAACCCCGCAGCCCTCCTAACCTGAAGCCCGAACCCCCGCAGCCCTGATAACCTGAAGCCCGTAACCCCGCAGCCCTTTTAACCTGAAGCCCGAACCCCCGCAGCCCTGATAACCTGAAGCCCGTAACCCCGCAGCCCTCCTACTTGAAAGGGCGGGCTTGTTAGT